TGCCGCGTTTCGCCCACAAAACATACAGTCAAGTCACTTTACAGTATATCCTGTGAAGCGCTTTGAGACGTCTTGAAGACGTGATAAGGCGCTGTATCCAAATGCAAGGATTATTATTATTGTCTCCAATACTCAGCTTTACAAGAATTCGCCTATTCCTTGGCCTCCGGTCAAATCAATAGAAGCTTTACATAAAGTGCTGACTGGACCTGTTTATCTGAGTTAATGTGTCTGATTGCATTATTGAACCCAGTGATTATGCTGTTTGGTGGGTTTACCACAAAGCCTCGGTGAGGTATTATATTGGAGTTGGATTCCGTTCCTGCTGAATAAAGAAAGTATTCCATATGATGGACACTGTTCAAAAGCGTTTTAAAAGGTCCGCCGTGATGGAGTTACATTTACATTGGAGTGTGATGCCATCATATGCAAATACCACAATGCCTTTCCAATTGAAATTGGAGGTACAGATCGGCTATGATCTAATGGCGGAACAGGCTCGAGGGGCTGAATGGCCTCCTCCTGTTCCTACGTTCCTTTCACCCTGATGACGCTGCCGAGGTTTTAAGATATATCCCCAGATGCCACCGTTGACACACACACAGAGGCCAGAGATTATATGGATTCACCGTTTCATTGAACGCAGAATCCGGCAAATTCTTAAACAACGTCTTTATTTTGAAACCAGATCTTTTTCAGAGCTACAGGAAACTACCTTCAATGTTAACAACAACAACAACAACAACAAATTACATTTGCATAGCGCCTTTCACGTCAGGAAGCTTTGCTCAATAATTCACTGAATTCAATAATTTATCAAATACCAAAGGCAGTTCCTATGTGAGTGCAGCAGCACTGAGCAGTGTTGGCAGACTGGGTTGCACTTGGACTTCCACACTTTCCAGCTGGGGTCACACTGGAACATTGGAATGTTTTATTTTCATTTCCCTCTCTAGTGGAGTCCTGTAGCTCAGTGGTTTAGAGCACTCGCCTCGCAAGCGAGAGGGACGGGGTTTGATTCTCGGGCAGGGGGAAACGTTAGGCAAGTTTCCTTGCTCCCCATGCCTCTGTTTACCTAGCAGAACTTAGGAACTTGGTTGTTAGACAGTTGATGGATTGCTATTCCGGGGGTAATAATGCCTTCAAAAAAGTAATATAGCAAAACAATTTGGTCACTCAATCCACGACTGTTTGTGGGGACGCTGCTGTCCGCAATTTGACTACCGCATTTCACCCACAAAACATACAGTCAATTCACTTTACAGTAAATTCTGTGAAGCGCTTTGAGACGTGATAAGGCATTATATCAAATGCAAGAATTATTATTATTATTATCATCTCTTTCTCAAAGCAATTGCTTGGGAAAGATATTTTTAGGAGATGCAGAGTTAGCCATCGCCACTAGAGGACATAGTAGTCTGACTTTATCTCTTCCCAGTCTTGTTTTCTGCTGCACTTATCAATGTGTGTGTGCGTGAGCTGAGCATCTGTACACTGTGTGGAGTGTGCTCGACTTCTACTTGTAATGAATGTTATCGTGTAATTCAAGAATGGAATAGATCTGTAAACCTCGGAACTATCCATCAATTAACCTAACATCGAGAGTCGAGAGAAAGAGAGAGAAGGGCTCCAAGAACATTTTACATGATACCATCAATATCCATCTGGAGATGCTGCAGCCGAGCAAGTCGGGATGGATTTAGAAGCAATAGGTCACTCTCTTAAATCTGTCATTATTATTTCGAGAAGGTGACAGTGAGTGTGTTCTGTGTGTTGTCTGGCGGAGAGCTCGCTTGTCTCTCGGTGTGTTTATTTATGAACGGGATCAAAAAATTCTCGGCAAACCAGCAACGTGCCTGATGTTTCATTTTCCGTTGAGCGGTTTTCAGTTTAGTGTCTAATTCTCTCCCTCGCTAAAGGCACTGACTCATTCCCCGCGGGAAACGGTGGGGGGGGGGGGGGGGAGCAGGATGGGACAGGACCACAGGCAGTAATCAACAGCAACTTGCGTTTACACTGAGTCCCTCACGCAGGATAGCGTCCCAGAGAGCTTGACAACGATGGAGCACGATCTTGAGCCGGGAGGGGGGGAGAGTTGACCGGACGCACGGTTGAAGAGGAAGGTCTTCAGGTGCAATCTGGAAGGGGCGAGGCGGAGGGAGGGGGAGAGGGAGAGTGTTCCAGAGTTTCGGGGCGTAGTGGCTGAAAGCGCGGCCAACGATGGTGGAACGGAGGGCAATAGGGACATGCAGGAGGCCGGAGCCAGTCGAACGTAGGCAGCGGGTAGTGGGTTGGAGAGTAAGCAGGTCGGAGAGGTAGGGAGGTGCCAGGGCATGATCAGGTGGGCATGGGATGACAAAATGGTTATTGTGCTCATCAAACACATTTCTTTTCAAGGACCACATGCTATTTTTGCATTGGCTTCACCCAACCCGCAGAACCCATGTTTTTGATATGAATGAGGCACAGTTGGCAGATTGGGTCTATCACATTACTGGGCACTGCTGTGCGCGATTTACTGCCACTATTTGCCCACACTTTACAGTGTATCCTGTGAAGCGATTTGAGACTTCTCAACAACGTGATAAGGCGCTATATCAAATAAAGGATTATTATTATTATTCCCAAACTCCCTCTATCTCTGCCAAGTGCTGTCAAACCCCCTCCCTTTGGTATCATGGTGACATGGTGCAATGGGGCACAATGGTGGTGCAGTATACAGATGCTGCCTTACTCTACACCACACGGTGGACAAGACACGAGTTAGTAATAGCCAGTCCTCACCTTAGCTTTCTCTTCTAGCTGAACCACAGCCATCGGGGAGACAGAGCATTACTCTGAAGAAGGTCAGAGGGCAACTGTTTCAGCTAAAGAGAAGTTTTGACCTTTAGAAATTATAAATGAAGAATAAAAATATTAATGATTGGGTTTACAGATGGACGCACAAGCTTCCGCGTGAAAGCTCCCGACCCCTTAGGGCTCGTGGCAGCATTTTCACATCAAACATTAATGGTCTATTACCAATAACTACTAGTGTCACTTTATGCATTTTAATGTCCAACCCTTTTAGACCGAACTCTGAACTTAACCCTCAGATATAGATAGGTTCTATCCGGGTTGGGTGTTACACACAGGGGCAAAAAAAGTTTGGTTCAATGTTCTGGATGTATTTGACAAGAACTTGATCTACAGCTAAGGTACTGTACTTGCTGAAGGTAATGCATCAATGCAGTGTGTCTGCAGGCAAGTCTGTGACCAGCATCAAATATCACCGTTGAGTAGGAGTTGACTAAATGCGGAGCTCATTTGCTGCCCCCATCCAACTTCTATACGCTTGCATTTTGCAGTGGGAGTCTCTGAATGGGGATCCTGGAGTCCTGTAGCTCAGTGGTTAGAGCGCTCCCCTCGCAAGCGAGAGGGCCCGGGTTCGATTCCCGGGCAGGACATTGCGAAACGTTGGGCAAGTTTCCTTACTACACACACACACACGCCTCTGTTTACCCAGTAGTAAGTAGGAACCTGGTTGTTAGTAAATTGGCGGATTGCTTTTCCGGGGGCTAATAATCCCTTAAAAGAAAATCGACTCGATGAGGCGCTGTATTAAACGCAAGGTTTATTGTTACGATGATAAACATCCTTGCTAAGCGAATGGAGTTGAAAAGCCATCGCCTTTGCTTGCCGCCTCCTCCATTTGTTTCTCTCTCTCTGTCAGGCTTGCGTTGGAGTTCGAATGAAGTGCCTCCAGAACTGCAGTGACCTACATTTGTTTCCTTGTCTTCATTTCCACGGCAATCAATACAATTTCATATCTGTCTGGCAATTCTGGGGGAATGAAATATACATGAAACAGACGCAGTTCAAAGAAATTCTGTTTCTAAAGATCTCTCTTACCTTTCTCTCTCCTTCTCCCTCTCAACCGTTTCCTCTCACAAAACCAGGTCAGGAATCCTGAAGGTGAATTTGCTGGGATGGGGTGGGGAGGGGGGAATGGTTGGTCTGTTGGACTTCTAAACAATTGGATGAAACTGGTTCCAGTTTGCCTGTTCAAGCAGATGTTAAAGACCCCAGAAAATTATCCTGTTGCCTTGGTCAACAAACCTCCCCGTCCAAATTCACTAAAGGATGACCGATTTAGTACCTATAGCCCTCTTCTTTAAATTCATTTATACCACATCCTCCTTTAAAGAGAAGGCTTTAATAATAATTCTGCTAATAATCCACAGTTAATACCATTACAGCTCGCACCAGTTGAATGCCCAATAAATACACGGTGGGTTCCTGAGCAAAGTGGAATTACAGCCACGGTACAAAAATAATGTTAATAATATTAATAATAACCCTTGCATTTGATATAGCGCCTCACCACGTCTTCGAGACGTCTCAAAGCGCTTCACAGAATATACTGCGAAGTGAATTGACTGTGAATTTTGTGGGCGAAACACAAGCAGAGACTTTGATAGTGAAAGTGAAATCCGTCACTCGGTAGAAATGGTGGAAATTCATTCACTACTTTATTTCTTTTATTCAGCTGCCTGTACAGTGAGTTGCTCTTTTGACCAAGCGGTGTCAGTCGGTTTGGCTTAACATTGAATAGCTGTCCTAAATCATCACGGCATCAGTCTGGGTGTGAGACCGACTGCCTCTCAAACTCAATTAATCAGCGTGGGGACAGCTGAAAGGGGAGAGGGAGAGAGGGAGGAGGAGAGTGGAGACACGAAACAGAGAGGGAGAGCGAGAGAGAGAGAGAGAGAGAAGCAGACAGACCGACCAGGGGAACTCGCTCATGCTACTAACAAGAGCTGTAACTCAGCCAGAGAAGCGGTGTCAATCTGCTGAACTTGCCCTCTTGAGAAGGCGTTAGGAACAATAAGTGGTATCTGCCTCCTGTGGGTCGGAATCTGGACTGTGGGGCACCACGTGGGAGCGAGAGAGAGAGAGTGGGGGAGAGAGAGAAGGAGAGAGGGAGGGAGAGGGAGAGAGGGGGGTAGAGAGAGGGGGGGAGAGAGAGAGAGCGCGCGCGCGAGCGAGGCTAAACCCGTCAGCCCCGGGCTCCGGCATGAACCGGGTCCACGCTCTCTTCAGGCAGCTGAGCCGCTCGTCCAAAAAGAAGAGAGAGAAAGAGTCGGGGGAACGAGAAGCCAACGAGGTACCCGGGGAGGAGACCAGGACTCTCGCTGCGAGTTGCTGCGCTGACGGTAAGAGAAAACAAACAGTCTCTACCCAGGTTATGTCTAAAATACATCAACTTTATGCTGGATAAATGCAGGTTGTTGTTGTTGACGGATGTGCTAATTAACCTTAAAAAAATAATACGAGTATTATTTAGCGGTGGTTCTGAAAGGGACATTTGTTTGGTGGATGAATGTGAGGAGGCTCAGTTGCAGGGCAGTTGTCAGGTAAAATTTGAGTAGTGCTGAGTTTCCCCCTATTGGAGGGAGCAAATGATGCCATTACAGATTAAGATCACAGAGAGGTTCAGGGGAAGAAGGCCCTTCGACCGATTTGATCTCAACCTTCCAGAATACCCACCCTCCCGCCCTCAGCTTTTTTTAAAAAAAAAAACCCCAGAACTTCACTCGTCTGAGGAAACATCGTGGTTTGAACCGTAGAGAGAAAAAAAAGGTCGATGATGAGAAAACACATTTGAAGTTGACTTGCTGAGTTATTGCGAAGGTTTCTCTTGGCGGAAAGTGTTGACGTTGCTGACTCTTTTGGACGTGAACGCAGTTGTCATTTGATCTGGTGAAGCATGTTCCTCAGCCTGAAATACTGTTTGTTCCCACACGAGAAGAAAGCAGCCAAATAGAGAGGATGAGCATTCAACCGCTACAACTTGCACTGGTATAGCGCCCTCCACGCAGGATAGCGTCTCGGAGCGCTTAACAGTGGGCTGTGGGACTCTGGACCGGGGGGGGGGGGCAGGTGGCCATAAGCACGGTCGAAGAGGAGGGGGTTTTCAGGCAGGACTTGAAAAGGGGGAGAAAGGGGTCAAGGCGGAGGGATTGAGGGAGTGTTCCAGAGTTTCGGGGCGTGGTGGCTGAAAGCGTGACCTCCGATGGTGGGGCGGAGGGTGCGAGGGACAAGCATGAGTCGGGGCCAGTCGAGGGGAGTTGCCGGGTGGTGAATTGGGGAGTGAGGAAGTCGGAGAGGGAGGGAGGTTTATCCTCCCCTCCCTCCGCCTCCATCATCAGGGAGTTGGATACAAAAGCAAGAATTATTATTATTATTATTATTGCACAGAGTATTGTGTCCATCTGTGGCCATTGTACCCACAAAGGATAGAGAGTGGGAAGGAAGTTTACAGAGAGTTAGTAGAGGTGATCAGTGGTTTATATAACGAAGAGAGACTGAGGGAGTTTTATCTGATTCCAGGAGACAAATAAATGGGATCAAAAGGGCAAAAGGACTAAATGCCTCTCACAGACAGACTCAGTAAAACCCTCTATCACATTGCTGGGTTGATGTGTACATGTGAGTGAGTGCTAGTTCTTAGGAATAGGATAATAATAATAATAATAATAATAATAATAATAATAATCCTTGCACGTGATACAGCGCCTTATCACGTCTTCGAGACGTCTCAAAGCGCTTCACGGGTGAATTGACTGTATTATGTGGACGAAACACGACAGCCAATTGCGCACAGCAGAGTCCCCACAAACAGCCGTGGATTGAGCGATAAGAGTGTACGTGTGTTGGTTTAGAAAAGGAGGCAATGATGAAGTGTGTGTGTGTGTCTTTCCCTCTCGCTCCCTCCCTCCTCCTATCCTGTTTGTTGCTTACACAACACCTAATCGATGCACAGAACACATGATACGCAGAATCGACGTCAATTCCGCTGTCTTTTTAAGATTTACTTGCACCTTTAAGTAAGGTTTAAGATCTTAAATATGATTTGATTTTAATCTTTGACGGAAAAACCTTTCGAAGACCTCTTTCTGAGAGATTTCCACGCAGCGTTAAAAAGAAAAGGGAGTCGGTGCAGGTCATCCAGTGCCAGAATTTACATTCAGTGTGGTAACAAAGGGTTCTGGCCCACCATCAATAAATGAAGATTTTTTTCCATTAACACCTGCATCCTGACAACTGAACAGTGCTCCAGGGAAGATTTGTGAGTGACGCAAGGCGTGAAGCTGTCTTACCTCTCAGAGATATATGTCCACTTTGTGCTCCCCTCAATGTAATCACGAATTTATAGTGCGGCAAATTGCCATTTTATGTTAAAGTTGCTTGAGGCAGAGATCGCAGCAAGGATCTTTACGTCATTAATGCATTAACTTCTGCCTGTGATCAGACTGTTACCTGGACAAAGTCTCATGTGGACCGTAAATTCCACGTGACCCCACATGAAGGCGACCCAATATTGCAGTCGTCTTGCTGGGAAAGACACGTAGGGTGATGGTGTGTGGTGCAGGGTGACTGTACAGTGTTCAGATTGCTGGTATAATATAACGCTAACAGCAATAATCCTTACATTCGATACAGTGCCTTATCTCGTCTTCGAGACGTCTCAAAGCGCTGCACAGAATATTCTGTAAAGTGAATTGACTGTATATTTTGTGGGTGAAACGCGGCAGCCGATTGCGCACAGCGGCGTCCCCACAAACAGCCGAGGATTCGGTGACCAAATTATTATTATTGCTTTTTGAAGGGATTATTACCCCCGGAAAAGTGATCCTCCAATCGACTAACAACCGGGTTCCTAATTACTGCTGGTGAACAGAGGCGTGTGTGTGGAGCGAGCAAACTTGCCCAAGGTTTCGCCCCCTGCCCGGGAAATCGAACCCAGGCCCTCTCGCTTGTGAGGCGAGTGCTCTAACCGCTGAGCTGCAGCGCTCTTTCATCTATATTACAAGAACAGTCTAATTACTGTGTTTTTAACTGGGTACCAGTCTTCAAAGTGCTTTGCTTTGTTACATTAAAGGGGATTTAAAGAAGAGCTGGAACAATGTCTCTGGAACTTGGTGCTGTACGTTAGCAAGAAAAACCCGCAGAACTGAACTTGCTTTCATTGAGAAAGATCAAGAGAGACATGATATGAGTAATTGAATGGATAATGGATACTGTGGATACGAACAGGCCATTTAACTTGGACCGAAAGTGCAGAACCAGTGGACATAATACGAAATTAATAAACCTTGAGGCAAATGAGATTAGAAGGGAATTTTTTTTCACAGTCATGGATATGTGAAATAGACTTTCAGTTGAACAGTTATTAGATTTGATATATATATATATATAAAGGAGTTGTTAGTAGCAGGCTGTTTGGTTAGAAACCCAATCGAAGGTTGGAAAGGTAAATATAGGGAGAGGTGATCAAACACTCGAAGGAATATGAGCCATCCTGTGGAAGGTAATTAGCCATTGATTTACAAACTATTTACCGCACAACATGATAGGTCTCCATCGGACACCACCCTATTACTTGGCTTGTGTCACGCTGCTTAGCTTTGTACACGTTTGCTCTTGAGGATGGAGAGTTTTACCTCTTGCGGGCACTGGGTTATTTTGTGCTCATTTATTCTAAATTAGGGGCAGTTTTGTGATTGGGATCCCTGACTGTCCAGAGCCTCGGGACGTCCTCCTGACGTGCAAGGCACTGTACAAATATCATTTGTTGCTGTTGTTGTTGGGACTGGACTAGTGTATGGGATAATGTGTGTATTTACCATATTTGGTTTGGACCTCCAAGCCAGAGCATAATATCAGATCCCTCCTTGGCTCTGGGTACCATAAACCAAATATATCTGGTCTATTGTGAAAGATAAGCTATCATGGAATCATAGAAATTTACAGCACAGAAGGAGGCCATTCGGCTCATTACGCCTGTGCCAGCTCTTTGAATGAGCTAACAACTCATCCCCACTCCCCCGATCTTACCCCATCGTCCTGCAAATCTTTCCTTTTTAAGTACTTATCTGATTCCCTTTTGAAGGCTATTATCGAATTGGCTTCCACCAGCCTTAACAACTCTCTGGGTAAAAAAAAAATGTCTCCCGGTCTCCCCTCTGCTTCTTTTGCCAATTATCTTAAATCTGTGTCCTCTGGTTGCCGACCCAGCCACCCGTCAGAGGAAACAGTTTCTCCCCTATCTACTCTATCAAAACCCCTCAGAATTAGGAAGATCTCTATTAAATGTTTGTGTTTGTGGGGACGCTGCTGTGCGCAATTGGCTTCCGCGTTTTGTCCACAAAATACACAGTCAATTCCCTTTACAGTGTATCCCGTGAAGAGCTTTGCGACGTCTCGAAGACGCGATAAGGCGCTATATCAAATGCAAGGATTATTATTATAAAATCTCCCTTCAACCTTCTCTGCTCTCAGGAGACTAATCTCCATCATGTATGATCCGATGTTAAATAATGCATATTACATCTATCTATTATGTATGTTATGTATAACTCAAATCTCACCAATGATGCAGAGGAGAGGAACAAGGTTTGGACGTTTTCTGAGCAGAATCTTCGCAATCCTTCAGATTGTGTTACACCTCCAAGAATGATAATATATCTCACGGGTTCAGGATTACCAAAGTCAACCCAACTCTTTTTAAAGGGATATTGCCTGCTCACGTTAAACTCGATGATCTCCCCGACAGAGGAGGCAGTTAAATTAAATAGCTGCATTTATCATTTTGAACGTAGCAGCTTAACTTTAATTATTAAACAGTTGTAACGTTGCACTGCGCAGGTTCGCACACCCTTCAACAAGATCTACTCCCAACTACAACCTGCAGCAGCCTGACAGGAAAGTAAAATAATTCCTTCCTTGTGTTTTTGACACAGCGCCTTATCGCGCCTTCGCGACGTCTCAAAGCGCTTCACTGGATATACTGTCAAGTGTGGAGACTGTATATGTTGTGCGGGCGAAAAAATCTCTCATGCTCTTGTTCAGGTCTAGCTCCAGCAGCTTATTGATGACTATAATAATAATAATAATGGTATTAATAATAATCCTTGCATTTTATCTGGCACTGGGGTGCCACTACACATGGAAAATAATGGTGATTGTATAATATGCTGCTGTAATGGTGATTGATGAGGCTGTTCTTGCGGGGATTGTCTGTGAACATGCCAGATGTGGGGGTGGACTTCTGATGTTACCACAATTACTATTCAACCACTTGTTAATGATCCATTGGCTCCTACCCTTTGGAACTCCATCCCACAGCCCCTTCGCCTCGCTCCCTCCCTCA